ATGCATGAACTAGCTTTTCTGCATCAGAAACAGGTAACATGTTTCGTAACTTGGCAATGTTTCTAAGATGGAAGAATGCTGTTTTTGTAACATGGGAAATTTTCAAAAGACAAGTTGCTGTCTAATATAAAACCCAGATTTTTGACTAGAAAAAGTAACAGTACATCCGTCTAGTTGCAAATTGTAATCCAAGAGATTCTGTGTACTGTATTTTGGTCCCTCTCCAAAATAAAATAAAAAAATTATATTTATGGTTAATTTTTTAGTGGTATATTTTTATAGAATATAAATGGCTACATCAGTGGCATCCCTAATTTAAGGTAAACTTTATGCAGATTTTTTAGAAATGGAAGAATGCGCACAATCATGTTTCACTGATGAAACATCACATTTCATCAGTGAAACGTGAACAGGTATTGCGAACACGTTTCATTGATGAAACATGAGCAGAATAATTTTTTTGGGGGGTGTAGATTTTTTGTAAAGCTGTCCTGATGTAGATTTTCAGATTTTGCAAAAGGCAGTACCAAGAAACATCAACACCAAATTACACAGTGTGTAAAATATCCAAACATTTTGTGTGCTTGTAGACAAACATAATTAATAATAACAAAATTAACCAATTAGTTAATAAAAAAATCACTGCTAAAAATGATTGAAATCAACCGCACAGTCCATTTTCCTTTTTATTACAGATTACTGTAATTCTGAACACCAGCAATATTTGTCTAAAAACTTTGATTTTTTAAATAATTTTTGTGAAGCATATGGCCAATAAGTCTTGTTTGCATGTATTTACAATTGATTGAAATTAATTAACATACACAACATTTAACTACCACATCTGATGTTTGTTTAACCCAAGCTAAAGAATAATAATGCTCATTTGATCAGATATAACTGCAGTACAAGATTATGAGATGCATTATTTGAATGCTTGGCCAAAGAGATGTGTCTTTAATCTAGATTTAAACAGAGAAAGTGTGTCTGAACCCCGAACGTTATCAGGTTATCCAGAGTTTGGGAGCCAAATGCGAAAAAGCTCTACATCCTTTAGTGGACTTTGCTATGCTAGGTACTACCAAAAGTCCAGAGTTTTGCGACCTTAGGGAGCGTGGTGGATTGTAGCGTGGTAGAAGACTAGTTAGGTACGCAGGAGCTAACCCATTAATGGCCTTGTAGGCAAGTAATAATATTTTGTAACTGATACGGAACTAAATAGGTAGCCAGTGCAGGGACTGTAGAATTGGGGTAATATGATCATATTTTCTTGACCTGGTAAGGACTCTAGCCGCTGCATTTTGGACTACCTGTAGCTTGTTTATTGAAGATGCAGGACAACCAGCTAGCAGTGCATTACAGTAGTTCAGTCTAGAGGTCATGAATGCATGAACTAGCTTTTCTGCATCAGAAACAGGTATCATGTTTCGTAACTTGGCAATGTTTCTAAGATGGAAGAATGCTGTTTTTGTAACATGGGAAATTTTCAAAAGACAAGTTGCTGTCTAATATAAAACCCAGATTTTTGACTAGAAAAAGTAACAGTACATCCGTCTAGTTGCAAATTGTAATCCAAGAGATTCTGTGTACTGTTTTTGGTCCAATAAATAATATCTCTGTCTTATCCGAATTTAATAGGAGAAAATTATTGGTCATTCAATCGGTTACATTTTTAACACACTCCGTTAGCTTGGATAATTTAGATGTTTCATCTGGTCTTGTTGAGATATATAGTTGAGTATCATCAGCATAACAGTGGAAACTAATCCCGTATTTTCTAATAATATTACCAAGGGGTAACATGTATATTGAAAATAGAAGAGGAACTAGGACAGATCCTTGTGGCACTCCATATTTTACTGGTGATAACTGACAAACAAAGTAAATAAACAAAGTGGTAGCGATCAGACAGGTAGGATCTAAACCATCTTAAAGCCTGCCCTTGAATACCTGTATAGTTTTGTAATCAATCTATGAGTATGTCATGATATATACTATAGATTATATAGTGTCAAATGCAGCACTATGATCAAGTAAAACTAGCAATGAGATGCAGCCTTGGTCTGACGCAAGAAGCAAGTCATTTGTAATATTAACAAGTGCAGTTTCTGTGCTATGGTTGGGCCTGAAACCTAACTGAAATTCTATTACTATGTAAATTATTATTATGTAAAGTGTAACAACAACACTTAAAAAAAGTGGCCTTTTTTTTCTCTTACAAAATACAGTACATTTTATTTTAGTACTAAAAATTGTCTAGGAAAGTCAAAAGTAAACAATTCTTCGCTAATCTTTTACCTTGTCTGTAATCTCTTATCTTGCTCATTACATTATACCTACTGTCTTCTGGTAAAGCCCAAAACTATATTTCCCAGCATGCCCAATTATTTCCTCAGGTTTAATGAAAGCCAATCTAATTACACCTGCCTCCTTCAATAGGGAGATGATTTCTTGACAGATACATGAAGACTCTGGCATTAAGAGAAGTACAGCTGAGGCTGCAGAGGAGGCGTGTCCAAAGATCATCTTCTACAGCACACTGGGGACCATGTAGCCACTTAATAAAGAATAAAAATAAAAGGAAATTCTCACTGGCGCATTTGGGGTTTTGAAGCTTTGTGTTTTGAGGTTGTTTTCTCATTAATTTAAGTAGTACTAATAAAAGACTACATGATCTGTACCCATTGCTGATTTACACTAAAGGAAATAAATAAATTCAAATAAATAATGACAGGCATGATGAACGCTGCCTGCAAGTTTCCGTCACAGGCTGTGCTCCGAATCGTTGTTGTGGGAGATTTGATCGATTGAACCATGAGAGAGGACAAATGTCCCTCACTTAGGTTGATTCAATTAGATGCACCATATTTCAGCTGAGATTCTTAAACCTCAAGCATTTCATTGCTGATTTGTGAGCAAAGACGTGATCACCAAGAAAACCAGAGACTGCCCATATATGAAGAAAGCTAAAACGAATATCCCGGACAAGCATCGACAACATCGTACTAAATTGCTAACCATGAAAGGTGTTCAAACTGTATCCTTTGGTGAGGTTTTTTCAGACACCTTAAGATGGTCGCAGACGCCTCCTCATTTGGAAGGATAAAAATGGCTTTATTTTGGCAAAGCTAAAAGTTCCGCCCCATTGCGGTGATTATTAATCACTACAAGTGCTCTTCGCTGTTCTTTTGTGAATAGGATTTCTGGCATATCCAGCCTCAACGATGTAATGGGATTAAATTTTGGACAGCAAGGACAAAATGAAGGACAAGCTTGGGACATGGTTGGGTGGGGCAAAAACAGCGTCATCGCCCTCCCCCAGGACATTGACGCAGTATATGAAAAGACGCATAAGAGGCCTGGCCCAACCCCCATTTTTACATCCCTCTGCCTTATTCACCCAACTACCCCTGCCCCGCCCCACTAAGACCAACAGAGCACTTAATGTAAATAACGTACTGTCTATTTTTAGAGTGCCATTGGAAGTTGAAGAGAGTTAACGTCATAAATTGTCACGTTTTCAGACATGCGCTTTTTCGTAACTACTCATTGGCTCTACAGCAGTCTGCAGATCGTTTCAGTTTGCGAAATGGCATTAGACTGGGTTTGCTATTAGAGACGGGAACAAAAATGGTCAACAGACACATATTGTCAAGTTTGATGAATTTGAACAAAATGGAAAAGCCTCATTACTTAAGAGTTTTTGTGGACTGTACAATTTTGAAATAATACACAACTATGAAAGTCTTAACAATAAAATGTATTATCTTTGAATAATCCTATGTTTAATCTGTAGGCCACAATTAATAAATAAATATAGATTTGTGTTGCTGGCTCCAACCCATCCAAATAAATAAATACATTTTTATATATCTATCTATATATATACAGAACGGTAAAGTGACACTTTACATTTTAGTGGAATACTGGACATTTATATTCATTGGAGTATAAATACACACATAACAAAAACTGGTGTATCACTAAAGCCAACAACACAGCAGCTGGCTCATTCTGGAACCAGGTACAATGACTTCTTTTGACATACGTATGACTTTGCAAATCACAAAATAAAAAATAACACAGCACAGACCCTGGAGGTTATTACATCTGGTAAATAATTTGCAGCTACATTCATTTTCAAGTACAACAAAGTGATGACCGGGTTTGCATAATGTCCAATCACCCCCATCTAATCAATGTAGCTAGGTAAGGCGATTACAAGATTATATATATATATATATATATATATATATATATATATTATTTTTTCCATGTTCTTTGTTTTCCTGGTCATCTTAATATTGCACTATGAACATGAAAAAGACATTTGCCACATGTGCACTTATGTCACAGTTGTTAAAGATAGTTTGTAGATGGGAAGCACATCCCTTGTTATATAATTACATATTAATGAAACAGCTTATATCCGTTTAGCTACATTTGATTTTTATGATAGGATGACAGGATAATCTGCACTAATATCTATCATGGAAGTTAATGGCGTGACACATGAAACCTACACATATTATTTATTAATATATAGCTATGATTGGATATATTATAATCACCGTGTTACATTTTCTTTTTTCGGGATAATTCACAGTCACAGAGAAATGGACATTCTGTCATCATTTGAAACTTACTTTCATCCGTGGAACACAAAAAAGATACTTTGAAGAATGTTTCAACTGCTTTTTTGTCCACACACTGAAAGTCAATAGGGTCCAAAAGAACACTGAAGCACATTGACTTTGACAGTATTAATAAAAAAAGAGAATTTTTCTGTGTTCTACAGAAGAAATAAAGTCATACATGTTTGGAATGACATGAGGTTGAGCAAATGATGACAGAACATTTTACCTTGGATGAACTAACCTTTTAATATGATCATTTCTTTAGGATTATCACAGTATCTCAACATTTTCTTTAGAAGGGAAAGGATAGTCACTCAGGTTTTGTACATACCATCAGCAGTTGAAGAGCTTCTCACGGTAAGCAACGCCATCAAGTCAGTTTTTTCCCCTAATATTACTCAAACCACCTGAATCACTGCTCTTTTCTTCTCTCTTTACCATTTTAATAAGAGTTTCAGTTGCTGTTCCATTCCTCTCTGAAAGAAGTGATGGAAATTCCAGAAAAGGAGTGTGGAGTGAATTTATTATGTAATTAAAATCTGATATTTCTTTACTTATTGGGTGAAGCCTTGTCCTTCACATTATGGTGTCTACTCGTTCTCATGACTCGGTGACTCTGGGCTGGAGTCCTCCTCTTCGGTCAGGGTTTCCTTCCTGATGAAGGTAGCAGCTAAAGTAACACTAAGTCTTGGCTTGACCGGGGCCATTTCATTCAGCCCAATGATGTTCTTGTTCACCAGAGTGGTCTTGTCCATTATTTCGGCACTGTGCTTGGCCACCACTGCATCCAAGAAATCATATTTAGCCGACAAAGTGCCACTCTCAAACAGGTACTTGAACAGGTATGAGAAAGCCACATTGCTTAGGAATGAAGCCAGCATGGAAGCAGTCTTAAAGGGAAACCTCTGCAACACCAGGTATTCCACCTCGTTGGTCACATGATGGACCTTCTCCTCAATGGTCCATCCAGGGTAGTAGATGAACGGAGGGAGTTTAAGATATGGTTCCCCTCCACCAACTCGCAGGATCAATCCGAAGATGTATCCAGCCACCGAGCCGTAGGTGTTCGTGCCACGGACGAAAAGAACGCAGAGGAGTTGGGGAAAGATGATGACGTAGACCAGGTCAGAGCTCAGGTACCATAAACCATAGACGGTCCCAGTCAGGAGAGCCATGGCCGTCGCAAGAGCCCCGAACACAAAAATAGTGATCCGCATGACCCATACTATCTCACGGTCAGAAGCCTTGAAGTCAGTACAAAGATGAGAGGAGAATTAGAGAGGTAATAAAATGATACAGGATATGAGAAAACTACAAATTTCCATTTGATTAAGTTGATTAATTTTCAGGTTTTTAATAACTGACACCCACTTTTTTCATACAAAAAAGGTCAGTGGGGTCTTCTGTTGTTGTGATGCATCTAAAAACAGTTGTTTTGGATGCTATTGACTTTCATTATATGGACAACAACAGCTGAGACAATCTGCAAAATATCTTCTTTTGTGTTTCGCAGAATAAAGAGTAATACAGTTCTTGAATGACATTTGTGTAAGTAAATGATTACTGATTATTGTTATTATTGGGTGAACTATCCCTTGAATTACTTTATCCATGCATTAGTATGCATTTATACATTTTATAGTCGTTTTCCAACACTAGAGAGAGAGAGAGAGAGAGAGAGAGAGAGAGAGAGAGAGAGAGAGAGAGAGAGGCACAGATAGAGAGAGAGAGACCGTGATTCACTAGAGAGAGAGAGAGAGAGAGAGAGAGAGAGAGAGAGAGAGAGAGAGACAGAGAGAGAGAGAGGTGTTCTAGCTTAGTATGTTTTCCAGCACAAATATATAAACACTTAAATCAACGCTACTTGGCAAAATTTTGTGGGCGAAATTTAGTAACTTCAATAGGAATTTGTGCATTCAGGAGTTTGTTGTGAAGGTAAAAAAGTTCCCCACACAGATTTTCATTAAAGTTAGTAATGCGAATTCTCTCTGCTGTCCAACAGAAAGCTGCTTGGTCTGAAAGTGACTCCTGTGTGAGCTGTGCTTCATACATCACTACGTCATTGACAATGAACCTTTTTTTTTGCCTGCAAAACTTTGCTAAAATATGACTCCATATTTAGACAAAAATCCATTGAACAATGTAAAAGGTACTGGTAATTTTCAGCCAGAACATTTCTTTTCAACTTTAACCTAAAACACAACACAATGCAACACAAATACAATACAGGTAAAACACCTGCAAAATCAATACAGAAAATCCCTTTACAGACTTTTCTTACAGTGAAGATAGTTACTTGTAAAAAATAGAATTCTTATTTTCTAAAACAATTATCAAAATTGAATGACTTTATTCTTAAAACAAGTACAAACATCTGCCAGTGGGATAAGAAAAATATTTTTCCCCCCCCTTTGAATTAAGTTTATTTTTCTTTCTCCAGTCTCAGATTTGTTTTTCTTCTTTTAAGTACAAACTCACTTAATTTTGATTCATTTTTACTCCTTGTCAAGTAAAGGTTTTTTAATTTAAGAAATGTTTAAATATATGTACTGGCAGACAAGACAAAAAATATTGAGTGCAGTGAATTCAATTTAACTGGCTCTCACCGATTGCCGGAAAGCGAGCTGGTAGATGTTCCTAGCGAACATGGAGCTGGCCGACAAGATGGATGAGTCAGCGGATGACATCACTGCAGCAGAAACTGCCCCCAGACCAAAAAAGGAGATATAGGCTGGGCACAGGTGCTGTAGCACGATCGGTAGGATCATGTCAGACTGGTCCCTCTGCATGGGAGAAATTGGCCCATAGGTTGTCTGGTTCCAATCTGTGGAGTAGAACACACTTACTATATACTGTTTAATAATCACCAGCATAATTATTATCAATTTTATTTTATTATTTATTTATTTGCATCATGCATGAGCTGTATACATGTTAAATGAAACTCAAACATTCTATTTCAAATTCTTTTTACTTAAAATCCAAAAGCAACAAGCCTTGATTGATCAGACTGCTATTCCCAATCAGTTAAATAATAAGTGTCTGCTGTGTCTTTGATGCTGAAAGTCTGTTGATTAAATCTGGGTGCTGTGTGCCTCCCTCAGATGTAATATTTACAGGGTTCACATCGTTAAACGGATAATCTGTTAATAATATATGAGGGAGACCAGCTGTTGTTATTTACTAATTTCTTTAGTGATCTGAAGGGAACATGGTTTCCACCCGGGGCTGATACAGCCTGGAGAACACCTCCCACAACACACCATAGCAAAACAGACTGTTCCCCCAATAATCAGAAAAAAGTGATTACATAATTAGAATTACTGTGTCAGTTTATACTAAATACAGTACATGCTCAAAGGGAAATGGCTTAAGGCTTTAGGACAAGGAAACATGATATACAGGAAACAATATGAAAAAATGCTTTGATGCACAATTTTAATTTGGCTGAGCTGTGAATAATTATTCAGGGTGAGGGTATGTGGCATGTTTTGGAGGGGATAAAACAACATAATTAGTGTATAATTAAGAGCACTTTCGTATTATCTGTTTAAGGAAAGATTTCTGAACTAAAGGGTCCAATGCTGAAGCCATATTAAGAATGAGCTTTCCGGTTGGTTTTATTTTTTAATTAAGTTTTACATTTTTATTTATTTATTTATTTATTTTGCACTCAGACAGATCTAGTGATTTTTAAGTGGATACAGCCTGCAAATCAGACTAATTAGACTGCTTGGATGACTTTGTTTGCAACTGCTTTTTCCTTTATTGAAAAATACATACGCTATTAATTAACTGATGTTGTGGTGTATATCCACGAGAAAAAAAAATGCAGGGCAGGACTTGATTTTGCTTCAGGAATTGATTGGACCGTTGTCATTTGCTGACTGCTATGATTTCATTAAAATTATAGTTTGCTGGAGCAGGGTTATTATAGGTAACTAGACTAAAACCATTAAATTTGTCTCTTTTTTTTTTTTGCTTTTAACTGAAATATTTCAATTTTATTTTAAGTTTAACTGAAATAAAATAAGATATAAAAAGCTTATTTCATTTCAGCTAGTTGCCAAGCAACATTTCTCATTTTCATTTAAGTTTAATTTAAATTGAATTTGATGTACTAAAATAGCTAAAAACTGAAATAAAAAAATTAAAACAAACAAAAAAAGAACATAAAAAACTAACAAAATGACTAAAAATGTAACTTCAAATGAAAACAGAAAATATAAAACTAATTCAATATATTAGTAAAAACATAATGATAACTATAATGATCCTAAAATAACGGTGCAGGAAAGGAGAGATTATTGTCCTGCCCTCGTGCCGGTGCACACATCACCAGAGAAGAAATGTCATTGCGAGGGGGAGGGGAAGTTAATGTTGATTGAAAACAAGGGCAAAAAACAAGAAAGAAAAGAAGACAGGTTTCTGATTGAGGTTTGTCTTACCTGTGGAAGCCCCTATGGCTCCGATCAGGACAGAGGGAATAGCCATGATGATACAACCAAAGGCAGCCAGGAAGGAGAGGACTTGAGCATAGGTAGCTGAAGAGGCAGAAAGAACCCTTTGAAAATACACCTGCCAGGGAATCCCCCCCAACATCTAGAAACAGAAACGTCATTGTAAATACAGACACCAGACAGCATGATACAGATGCATAACACCAAGTGTGCATTATAACACAATAAACGTTAAAGCTATTCTAAATATGGCAACCTACAGGAGAAGAGTGACATGGCTGGACAAGAATGACACTTTATTCAATCTCTCTCTCTCTCCAATTCTTTTGGTCTTATTTAGTTTTCCTCCCTACGAATGACTGCATTGTTCACTAAAGTGAGAAATTAGGTCTGGCCCTTCAGAATCAACAGTTCTCCATTGGCAAAATCATCGTCTCTCCATCCCATCATGCTACAGTGGATTGTCCACTCACCAGAAGGAAGAAATTGTCAGCCCACATCCATTTGTCAGGGCTTTCTATCTTCCCAAGCCATGTGGTCTGATTAGCATGGAGCTGCTTCACTGCTGTCACTCCGATGTCAGACACAGCTGGGTTTGAGAGTGCAAAAGGTACGCTCACCCACTATAAAGAGAACATATTCCACTCTATTACGATGTACTTGACCATTTATAACATTGTAATACTCTTTATTTAACTTAATGTGTAGCAGGTGCTAGTGAAAACCAGCCAAATAGATTTTGGGCATTATACATTTTTCAGTTTTGTGAAATTATTATTATTTTCATTTTTTTTTTTTAAATTTACACATCAATTATGAATTATGTTCAGTTGATAATGCTATATTATTAATTTGTATTAATGATACATTTTATTGCATAATGTAATAATAAATAAAATGAATGAATGAAAAGCAATTAATACATAACTCAAAGGAGCAAACATTTTTGATTTCTTCTTTTCGCTTCTTTATTCCTATTACTTGTATCTATAAAGGGTGGTTAAAGAGCCGTTACTGTCAAAACTGCACAGCAAACAGCCACTTTGATAAATCACAGAGTGTTCTGTGCTGTTGAAGACATGCAGACATGAATTAAGGGGAAAATGACGCCTTCAGTGTCTTCATCGTGAGGTTCTGTGAAGCCTTACCAGTCCTAAAAAAATGCAGAAGAGCTGGACGACATCAGTGTAAGCCACTGAGTAAAGTCCTCCCACCAGTGTGTAGAAAATAGCAATAAGAGCCGAAATAATCACAGACATATTGATGTTGATGTCAACGATCACACTCAGTGTGGCCCCTGTGATGCAAACAAAGTAAAATGCAATATTTATTGTATATGCCCTAATAAAATTATGAAAGAACTTGCAAATTTACTGATTGTGTCTAAGAAATCATTTCCCTCTCTTTTCTTACCAAGGGCAGATAAGATGGCGGCTGACCAGAACATTTCCCCCATTAGTGCAGGGATGAATAGCAGACCACCCATCCTTTTTCCATACAGTTGCTGGAAGGGGTCAAGCATGGTGACGTAACCCCGGGAGCGCATGGGTTTTGCAAAGAAAAGGCCACCTTGACATGAATCAATTCATAGAAATTATATGTTTGACAGATATACGCTTCTAGTTCTGCTAACTTTAACACTGAACACATGTTTATATCAAAGCTGCATACCCACAACAAGGCTGAGCGCATATCCAAAGGGAGCCTGTGCCCATGCCAAGCCGTAGCCGGGAAGATACACATTCTCTGCTGTGCCATTGATATAACCCCCTCCGACCCAAGTTGCTGGAATGAGAGAGGACATTCAAACTGACTCCTCTTGAAACTAATATATATATATATATATATATATATATATATAAACGAAGTTAGTTAACATTAATAATATATATGTGTGAGTATCGTTCATTGTTCAAGTTCATTTCAACATGTATTTACTAATACATGTTTAAATCAAAGTTGTATCTGTTAACATTTTGTGTGTGTGGAGAAATAACATAATTGGTAACATAAATGATTCAATAATTAGCAACAGTACTAGTATGTACAATACATGAAGAAATAAATAAGAACATAAACCAAACGAAATGTCAGTTATAATATAGAAATTAAATAAAATTTAAGCAGGCTACATAATGTAGTATTATATATCATCTTGTTCTACAAATTTTCGAATTTTACTTCGGAAATTGCTTGTCTACTTTAATGTAGAAAGACAAAAACATCATCTCATCATGGTTTTAAGCTTTTTTTTTTTTTTTTTTTTACAAAAAAATAAAACCCCATTCGTGTTATATATACAAACAGTAAAACGCTTTTTTATTTAGTTTTCTCTGAAACTCACCTGTCATGGTAAATGCGCCGACAAATAATCCAATATCCCTTCCGCCGACCATAATGATCTCACTGCGATCAGCTCCCTCCACCACGCCGGAATTCTTGTTTTTCCATGCTGCCCAGATTCCCACTATAAGGATCAGCAAGTAGAAGATGACAATCGCCACCAACCCCTCCACATGGATGTTCATCTTCTCTCTGCTAAAGTCGTTGTACCTCTAAAGAACCGAAATGCATTGAGACCTAGGGAAAAGAGACCAAAAAGAGATATGTAAGAAAAGAAGGGAGAGTTACAAAAAAACTAAATCTATTCAGAATCAGACTATTGTGCTTCTAAACACAATGATGTAGAATTTAGACTTGAACTCATTTCAAATGATTTAAAATGGTTAAATTTCTTAATAGTTTTTCAGTCACTTCCTTTTTTTTTTTTTTTTCTTTTACATTTCATTCCGAGGACTTCCAACTATTTCATAATTCAGCATCATAAGAAAAGTGCCTCACCTTTGTGAATCAGCCGCCAGCCACTCAACTGCCACCAACAGTGCAAACCAGAGCCTAACTATCGCCTCAGGAGAAGAGCAGTGGTACAGCACATTTCAGAGTCAGCCAAACTTACTGTGAATCTTATAGGAGCAGGTTTCGTCAGAGGGTAGATGAACGTCAGAGATGTGAATGGGGGCTATTTATGAATAAAGATGTCAGATCCTGCAAATCACTGGAGGTTATCAAGTCAACTGAAAATCGCTAGACGGGGGAAACTGCTGTAAATCAAGAGTAGTGAAATATATCGCTTCCATTCATGTTTTTCTTGGCAGTCTGTATGAGTATAAGCGCACTGTCTCAGCAGTGCAGGCGCTGTCCAGAGTGCTGAGTACCCAAGCAGCTCCCGCACCAGCCGCACAAGCTCTTCAGACGCCAACCAAACGCTCCAAATTCAAGTGTATTGTGAAAAGACAAAAGGAGTACGGAGGTTATGTACAATCTATGTAGACAAGCTGAATATCACTGACATTAAATAATGTTTAAAGAACACGACAGTGTTTCAACAGTGCGTTTTTGTCTTATGCTTTTTTTTCTGATGTATTTTACACGTTCTTTATTCGTTTTAAACTTTTCTATATATAGGCTAAAAACAAAGCATTTAATAAAACCACCTTTGTTCATGTGGGCTAGGGTCTTAATAACAAATAACGAATTTATTCAAATCATTAAAAAAAAAACTATCATTTATTCAGTTATGTTTGACTCTTTTTGTGCTGTGTCCATGGGTTCTAAATTCGCACAGAATTGAACAATTCTTGACATTCTGCCACCCAGTGGCTAAATATAGCGTATAAGATTTCATGATGTGCTTTCCCAGTGGCTTTAGTTGGTTCTGTATGCTAGCTACATGGTAAAGAAAGAAAGAAAGAAAAGAAAATAATATATATATATATATATAGACTCAGGAGAGCATTATGGTACTCGAAATACCAGTTGTATAAACACTTTATAAAAAGGTGCTAAATAGCACTAAAAGTGGTTCATTGGCTCAGCACCTTTGTCAAATGGTGCTATGTAGAACCATTAGAGAAACCCCATTCTCCTCCTGAAAAAAAGCTGTTTTGAATCACTTGTATGCTTTTCTGAGGTCAAAAATTCTTGTGTGGCGGCCCTGGGATATATTTCCTTATGGGGGGCCTTAGGGGCAAAAATGTTAAGAAACACATTATCTTCAGGAAATACAGTGTATTTTAATGTCGTTTTTTAATCCTTTCCCCAACTAAACTAAGATTTAGAGAACCTTTAAAGAACCTTTGTGTGTGTGTGTGCATGTTTTGTGTAGCCTACACCTTATAGCCAGGTTAGACCATATTGAATTTAAGGGAATGAAAACGAGGCTGTGATTGATAGACTACAGACGTTGAAACTGTAAAGGTCGGAGAGCACGTGATTTAAAACCAACTTTTATTTATTTATTTATTTCCCCCCCTAGGAAGGACGTTTAGTCAAACGTAAACAACAGTAGACTACAATCCATCAAACACACTGTACACTGTACCTACAACTTCTCTCACTCAAAACCACGTTATGATTCATGCCAAAACTTAAACATGCCGCTACCCTGACTAAGGTTTATAAGGATTTTAATAACATTCACGGTTTTGTGGTATCAGTTTGGTCATGAAAGCTTTTATAGACATTTTTATATTTGCTGAAACAGGATTCCCGCGAATTCATCTCCAGAATTTGGTCGCTAATTGCTCTTTAAATTTGACAGTTCAGGGTTTAAGTATGCATGGTGGTGTATAAACAGGCTATTCTGAACAAAATGTAACTAATTTCCTTGAGAAATAAGAATCTTCCGTAAAAGAGAGAATGCAACTCTCTAAACGAACCAATTTAATGGAAGCCAGATATCTTCTACCTCAGACGAGTCGACTAGGCTAATTTAACCATTTTGGACAGCCTGCCTAGTGAGTCCCAATTATAAGCAGACGGGATCTAACATGTTCCTGTACAGATGTTGCAGTTCTTTGTAGCTTAGAAAAGGCTTGGCCAAGATCCATCAACAGTTTTCAACAGCTTCTAGAAAATAATAGACCTGGAATTCGGCAGAAAAAAGAAGTTATCTGACCGTTTAATGAGAATAAAGGTTGATAAAAAGTCAGATAGGAGAATGACTAGGTATTTTTATGTTTATATGGATTCACTTGAAATAAAGTGTGGCATTCTGATGTTTTCTTCTAGATCCCTCGGTGCATGGGAACAGTCATGGTGCACAGATTTTGCTCAGCTAATGAGCACACTTCACATCTGTTTCGTGTTCTTTGAAGTGTGTCACAGAGAGATGCACACACACTTTTCATGGACAAATGAACAGCAGATTTGACAAAACTGTTAGCAATAATAATAATAACAAACACCAAAACAAAATATATTCAATGTAAAACGTGTATTATACCAACAACAACCATAATAATAGGTAGCCTATGCACCTATAGCTAATGCGACTGATGATACATGTGAAGAAAACAAAATACACTTAATCATTTCAAAGAAAAAAGAATTTTAGGAAGATAAAGAAACTCATATTGTGTACATTTTATCTCCTGTTAAACTACCGGTTGTCCGTCTTTCAAATGTGAACTACCAAATAAGTTGTTACTGCCTTCTAGCGGCAGAATGGGGAACTAACTTTCGAAATCACCACCAGCGGCCCTTACGCTGTAACTGCATATGAACGGCTGGTACTTAACATTTCAGTATTCCATCTATAATACGGCTACCGTACATTAGAAAGTTCGACGTAAAAGAAACTATACTTCTGTTCACGGCATCAGCGGAGAAAAAAATAATAATAATAAACTGTATTCGCCATTTACAAAGGGAGAAGGAAAGTGGCAAGCAGTGGGAACTTAGAAGATACAGGGTCCCGCATCAGCGTCACGTCTGTTACGCATGGCTAAACGAGACGGATCTGACACTGCGCACGGAGCTCAGAGTCTCCACTGTGTTTTATATCTGCTGTCACTTCTTCTCGGGGATCTGCACAGTGTGTCTCTTGTGCTGCCGGTTCACTGGCACCAGACGGGAGATGGAAATACTGCAATATTTTCCATTTGCTGTTAGATTAACGGGACAATCCACTCATAAATGAAAATTCTGTGATCAGTTACTCTTTAAGTTGGTCCAAACCTGCATGATTTCTGTGAATCACAAAAGACGACAATTTGACTTCCACTGGAAGGAGGAAAACTGAGACATTTATCTTAATATCTTCTTTCAAAGAAAGGCATATTGGAATGATATACGAGAGTGAGAAAATGACAGAATTTTCATTTTTGGGTGAAAACGAATACATTTATTCCTTTTATGCTATTCGAATTGGCTGGGCCTTGCAGCGATGGGGTTTGAGATGTACTTTGTTTAGTCTGGGGGAATTAATTTGTAAATCGCATTATTTTTCTAGCAAGGAAGATTCTCTCCTCCACTCAGACAAATTTAACCTGGACTCAACAAACTTAAGCAAAAAGTGACAGTGCTGCATTCCTTTACAACAGATACCAGATCAAATTCTGGCACAAATGCTGCTTGGGCTACACTACAAAATACATATATTCCAAGAGTTCTGATACAGGCCAGCAGCACTGGGAATTTTCAGTGTTTATACTGTATCACTCTGTTCAGACAAACGGTCAGTGTGTACGTAAGTGGATAGGATTCTTCAGTGACCGTTTCTGCAGGTTACATGGTAATATTAGTAAGTGGCAACAAGAAGGAGTGCTAGGAGCACATTATTGAATCATTCCTAGTCGTTTCTTTCAGAAACGAAACACGTGGCATGCAGCATTGATCCTGCTTTGGCTTTGTTTGGATCTATTTTATCTGGCAGAGAAAAATAAATAAAGTAACTGCCAATATTGGGTCTAAAGCTATAACACACTCGTATTCGTGCAGCTGTTCTGTTAATAATGCTTAAATCATCACATAATTAAATGAGATGAAGCTCCAGCTGATGTCTTCGATGAAAGCATAGTGCAGCTTTCTCTCTCATAGAGAGAGATCATACACAGACTAAGCCCCAGAGTTTGTTTATTCTTTAAACATTCTATTACAAGATCCCTTATTGATGAATAAAACCGCAATAAGAAAAAAAAAAATGCTAAAAATCTGTAATCTGTCTAGACAAAACAAGACAAAAATGCAGCAACAATTCCTTTACATATGCTTTTAAAACAACATATTTATGGCTATTAAATAACTCCAGAACAAAGAGAAACATTTCCTTTGTGGTTTGAGGTGTCATAATTTCTCATTTTCATACTGTTCAGAGGCAACATGCATACAATGCATGAAAAAGTAAATCATAGCAAAATAGTGACTAAACAGCACTACTGTACATCACTACAGTAACAAGCTTTGACCAATATTTTATTTCAAAGCAATGGAATAAACACTGCTTGGGAAAGTTTTCTATCTATTCATAAGCAAACAGCTAAGATATAAAATATTAGCCACGGTGCTCAGCTGTCTGAGAAACTTGTTACAGTGAGTTTCTCAACAGATTTACTTTACAGCATTGGCTGTCAAGAAGAGTAGTGTAATTCATCAAGAGAGAAGGTGCAATGATCAAATATTAGATGCATTGTCACAAACAAATTTACACGTGATAATAGCATTATAGTTCAGGTGATCAAAAGTGGTGAAAAGCGGTCACACTACACTTTGAGCGCGCAAAATTAGTTTGCACGCTTCAACGTCATGCTCTGCAGTGTCTTTTAAAAAACTTAAAACACAAACAATAATAATACACCTAAAATGTAAAAACATACAATCTACTCCACTTTCCTGCAGCGCTGCAGTTTTAGATAGATATTCTTTTAAATCAGATAGGTCATGCTGTGGCATATCGATCTGCCGTTGGTCACACGGTGTCACGTGATGCGAATTCGCAGGCCAGAGTTCACCAAGTTTGAACTTTGGAACGCAGCGAAATGCGAAAACTTTTCGCACGGGCTTGCGTTTCCGGCCTGACGCATTCGCATGCGTATGAATGGAAGTCAATGGAACGAAAAGTGTAGTGTGACCGGGCCTTTACTCGTTTGGAGGTAGTCAGAAATGTATATAGACAAAATTAATTTGTTTAAATTCTAATGTGCTCTTTATGCATTCTGGACAATAGGGAATCGGTCAATCAATTATTGGGCTAATAGGTTAAACTTCACTAGTTATATGTGGCTTTAAAAGAAAACAACTGTCAGAATAATGTTTGTGAGGAGATTTAAAAAGAAAAGTCTCGACTGACCACTTGTGATCAGATCAACTGAGACAGTTGTTCATACCTAGAGCAAACAGGGCCATAATCAAAGCCAAACAGTTTATTACACTACCAACCTAACTGACAAAACACCGTTTTTGTGCCCAAAGGTGAAGATCTGTTTTGTTTGGCTCCGCCATTGCAGCTGGTGATTTTATATTTCAGGAGGGTTTTACGTTTTCATCGTTCTGATTTGATCTGTTAATGGGAGGGGGAAAAAAACAGAACAAGGATTTAAGTCATTATACATTTTGACTTATAAAAAGGTTTGAGATAAAGGTGAGATCTTAAAGGGGTCATATGATGCGATTTCAATTTCCTTTCTCTTTGGAGTGTTACGAGCTCTTGGTGCATAAAGAAGATCTGTAAAGTTGCAAAGACTAAAGTCTCAAATCCAAAGAGATATTCTTTATAAAAGTTAAGGGTCAACCACGCCTACCTAAAACGACGCGTTCTAACACGCCCCCACATATCTACGTCACTATGTGGGAAGATTTGCATAACGCCACCCAAATGTTCACGCAAAGAAAGAAGGCCTAACTTTTATTCTCGTTGTAGTATTGTTGTTGCTGCCGCCGCCATTTCGTGAAGGCGCTGTGTTTCGTTGTGAAAGCGAAACTACTTTGTTTGGCCTTCCAAATGAGGTGTTGGATTGATTGGACCAAACTAAAACACTGGGCAGAGGAAAACAGACAGCTGTGAACTTCATTGTTACTGACTTACTCAAATGCACCTCTAACAACAAGAAGGAGGGGAGTCTGAAATAGTTTTGCATCAGTTTGGGCTGTATCTAATCTTTGAGATACCATCAAATGATTATTTGCCTTTGAATTTCTTCTAGAAGGCCAAAGTGAAGTGTAAATTGGAGCAAGAATAAATACAGGCCAAAAGGGAGTTCTAACGTTAAAGTTATATTTAACTGTACAATTAACCAAAGATCACACACATCTGGGAACTTAAGCTTCAGTACTTACTGTGGAATTTGTTCTATGGGTGAAATAAAACAAGAATATAAAAGGCATTTGAACACTGTAAACAGTTTATATAGTATATACATTTTTTGTGACCCCCTTCTTAAAAAGCATTTCAGCTCATCTCTGTAGAAACTAATAACTTAAAGACAAACAGGAAATTAGATGCACTAAACAAGGAATAGGTGTATTTACCTTGCAGCCAGTCTACACCCTCCTGAAGACCTTCTCCTTTCACTGCATCACTTGCACTGTAATTTATTTAATATATGAATTTAATATGTATACTGCATGTGTATAACATATATGCACAATACCATTCAAATATTTGGGGTCAGTACGATTCCTGTTTTTTTTTTTAAATAATACTTTTATTCAGCAAGGACACATTAAATTGATCAAAAGTGGCAGTGAAGCTGCTTGCATCGACTACGTTTACATAGACATCAGTAATCAAATTATTTACCTTATTCTAAATAAGCCAATATCATGATTGTGGTGTTTACATGAGTTGCTTTTAGAATATTCCTTTCATGTTCCCGTTTTACATGTTATAGTACATAGATCGATTAATGGCACATGTCATTACATCACCAAGTGACGCCATCCGACGTCCCCTCCAGAATTTCACATATAAACATATAGTTTGTCTTCGTAATGATGCCATGTACAGTTTTGGGTGTTTCATTTTTTATTTTAAGAAAGCTTCAAGTGCAGTTAATTATTTGTACGTGCATACAGACGACATCAGGTGTTGAAGCTCTTTTATTTGCCGTCAAATGGTTGACCACTGCCATGTGTGTATCCTGTCGCAAAATGCAGTGAAAAGTACTACACGACGGTAATAATGTGATTAAGGTGTGTACATGTCTATACTGCACTTCAGTAATGCGACTAACATAGGAATACTCCACATGTCTTAATTCGATTTCCGTTTACTTCAAATATGACTTTAGCCGGATTAAGGTAATCAAACATCTCTGTTTACATGGAAGATTCTTAATCAGAGTATTGTCTTAATCGTGTTAAAATCGGATTATTGTTGTCCATGTAAATGTACTCACTGTTACAATGTTTTATTTCAAATACAAATGTAACTTTCTATTCATCAAACAATCCACACAAAAGTATCACTGTTTCCACAAAAATAAAAAATTAAGCAACACGACTTTGAAAACAAAGTGCATTGATAATAATAAGAAATGTTTCTTGAGCATCAAATCAGCTTATTAGAATTTTTTTTTTCTGAAGGATCATGTGGCATTACAGGAATAAATTACATTTTATTATTACAGACAATAATTTATTTTAATAAAAAAAAAGTTCACCATATTACTGTTTTTTACTGTAGTTTTGATCAAAGAAACACTGCTTTGGTGAGCGTGATAAACTTCTACATTTTTTTACAGACTCCATATATAATATATATATATATATATATATATATTCTGTCCAAAAAGCAGTACTCAGTCTTACAAAAAACAAACAAACAAACACACACACACACCCTCTTCAGCATTATTCAGACAGGGCAGGTTTACCCTGAGGAGATTAAGCAAATTCGTCATAGACATACTTTGTGATTGTGTTATTGCCATCTGAATTGAACAGGTCTCACGCAACCTTTGTAAAAATCAAAGAGCAAATTACCTACCCTGGCTAGCTCAGGGTTCCTCTGAGAAAACTAATTCCGTCCAGATAGGAATGCTTGTCACTGCTGTATGTAACACTTTTCCTCATTTATTATGACATTTGTTGAATACTGTAACTAAAGCTAAATCTCTTAATGTGCTGCCTGCTGCATTAGCTTGATTTGTGACCATGGACCACAAACCCAGTCTTAAGTGTCAATTTTTCGAAATTGAGATGTATACATAATCTGAAAGCTGAATACATAAGCTTCCCATTGATGTATGGTTTGTTAGGATTGGACAATATTTGGCCGAGATACAACTATTTAAAAATCAGGAATCCAGACCTGCCAACCTTTGAAAACATTTTTGAGTACCATCAGTGTGACCGGGGGGTGGGGGGTGATACCGGGGGTCATATAGCCTATTCCTACATTACTTGAAGCTCCTTGATGGCTAATGTCAAAATCGTAATTGCACAATGTGCAAAATGCTAGACTTCATGTTAAATATTTTTCATAGGTTAGTACTCAAGAGTCTGCACTCAATTTGTGATATTCCTGTTATACAGTATTTTAGAGTAAACAGTAGGAATGCAACAATACAGTTAGCCCAAGGTTCAATAAATACCTCAGTTTTTTAAACACAGTTTTCAGTTTGGTTCTGATGGTTTGGCACAACAGAGTTTTTTTTAGCGATTTTAAATGCGATTTAAAAAAAACAAACTCCAGTACATTGTTGTACACTGTAGAAAAACATGGATTATCACGTTTACCTTAAATTTATTTTAAGAGAAGTATTATTTTTATAGATTGGCCATTATTTAGTGCTATGAACACATGTAATGTCTGTTTCATTCATACTGGATATTAGAGGGCGCCCCTGCGCAGAAAGTCCACATATGCATCACTGAAGAAATAGAGCTCAGGACTCCAGGAAATACCATAGACGTGTTTCCTTATCTCAGCGCACGACTCACGGACACACAAACAGAGCCAGTTTGGCTAAATAAAAAACCACGGAAAACACTGATTGGTTGAACTCCTCATCTTTTTCTGTTGCTTGTTTACTGCACGTGGACGGGTCACCAGGTTTTTGTGTAGTTTAGAGTGACATATCGTACCAGCATACTTTAAGGTCAAAATGCGTACCCGCTACGCAAAATGCATACAGGTTGGCAGGTCTGGGAATCTGAGGGTGAATCAAAATATTGAGAAAATCGCCTTTAAAATTGTCCAAATGAAGTTCTTAGCAATGCATATTACTAATCAAATTTTCAGTTTTAATATATTTACAGTAGGAAATTTACAAAATATCTTCATGGAACATGATCTTTACTTAACCTCCTAATGATTTTTAGCATAAAAGAAAATCAATCATTTTGACCCATACAATGTATTTTTGGCTATTGCTACAAATATACCCCAGCGACTTAAGACTGGTTTTGTGGTCCAGGGTCACATTTATGTACTTCTTCTGACATCCCATCCAATGTACAAAGAAAATTTGGATACAAGTACAGTACATTTAAAGGATTGTACAGTATGTTCAACTTTTGGTAGACAAAAATTCCATATAACAGTTCTGATGGTTGTGAATTGTGAAAATTATGTGATCTAGGACGTTTAAGCGAATGCCAATGTAAAGACTGTTAAATTCAGTATGGCGTCTGACCTGACTAAGGTCTATAGACTCTGACTCACCATCAATAATAATTTCCGAGATCCCAATCTCACCCAAATCAGTATATGAAATTTCAAATGTGCAATTAATAAGTGTTACTCAAATATTGTTTAGAAAATAAACCCTCTCAGAATAATTTAATTATGCAAATTATTTTAATGAAAGCAGACCACAATCTAAAAAAAAAAATTATTTTGTTTTCTTACCAGATATGCCATGGTTTGTCCTTAATATTTTCCAGACACAAGAGCTGGGAGACCTTTACTGCTGACAATGCATCCCTGAGGTCCATCTTGTTAGCGAAAAAGAGTATAGGTATCCTTCTGTGCTTAATATCTATGCATGTCCAGGAAAAAACACACACACACACACACACGAGCATTAGGGTGCTTTTAAAGGAGTAATTCACCCAAAAATGACGATTTGCTGAAAATGCACTCAGGCCATCCAAGATGCAGATGAGTTTGTTTCTTAAGTGATGTTAAGTGATGGACTGGAGTCATGGAGTACTTGTGGATTTTTGTGATGTTTTTATCAGCTGTTTGGACTCTCATTCTGGCGGCACCCATTCAGTGCAAAGGATCCAGTGGTGAGAAAGAGATGTAATGCTAAATTTCTCCAAATCCATTCTCTTGAAAAAACAAACAAACTCATCAACATCCTGGAAGGCCTGCGGGTGAGTACATTTTCAGCTAATTTTCATTTTTGGGTGAACTGTTCCTTTAATTCAGATCTGAAAATGATGACTAAAACAGAGATTAATGAAAGATGTACCAGGGTGATTCAAAAGGGTATCCAATTCTTCTTTTGCCACAACCATTCTTAGTTTATCACCACTGTCAATCACAAATATGATGGCCTGACCCTCCCTGAAAACAAGATAACATCGATAAACACAAAAAACACAGATCGATTCCAAAATGGTCAATGGCACTTCATTAGCCCAGTAAACATAATCAGATAAGCTTGAATCAGAGAAACCCACTTGTAATAGTGCTCCCACAGATTTCTGTATCTTCCCTGCCCTGACATGTCAAACACTGTGAAAGAAAGACTTTGGGGAAAACAGATATTGTGTCAGTAATATTTTGAAAAAGTGGTTTTCATACACTAACAATTAAATCACAATATCTATAGTTAACACTTTCAAATGTTCACCTTGAGGTCTTAAACTTTTCTATGCTGAAACCTATAGTTGGTACAATGTCTTGAGCCTGAGCCTGCAAAAAAAAAAAGGCAATATCACAACTGTGAGCTCACATACAAAACAGAGATGAAAGAAGAGAAAGGAATATACAAAACCAAACTGGTGAAAACCAAGTTATTTCATATCGGGTCCACAGACAGGAGTGTGACATACATTGGATGGCTTTAGCTGGTTGATGATGGTAGTTTTTCCACTGTTGTCCAGACCTAAACACAACACGTTCACTTCCTTCTTCTTCAGGCCCAGCCACCCTGCAAGCTTGTCAAAAAGCCCCATTTGCCTATTTGGATGGGACGCTTCTGGAGAGAGATCACATCAAAGACAAGCTCCATTAGATTTTTCATTAGATGCATCCAGAGGCTGACAAACACTTGGGACAACAGAAACATCTCCTTTTTTCTTCTCAGTCTCCATAAGGCACCAACTGCTGAGGGGAGCAGATATCAGTTGTTTAAAAAATAAATACACAAAGAAATAAAACACTAAGATCTACTGCTAATGTTTAGTTTAATTTGAATATGAATTCCAGCTAATAGTGACACTTAAAGTTTGTAAGATTTTTGAATGTTTTTGAAAAGAGCTGGGAGTCCATCATGCTATCAAGTCTCTTATGTTCAACAAGACTGCATTTATTCAGAAAAACAGTAAAAACTGTATATTGTGAAATATCATTACAATTTAAATTATTTTATCATTTATTTTCAATATAATGCATTCATGTGATGACAAAAGCTGCATTTTCAGCAGCCATTACTCCAGTCTTCAGTATCAGACGATCCTTCAGAAATCATTTTAATATGCTAATTTGATACTCAACAAACATTTCCTATTATTATCAATGTTGAAAACAGTTGTGCTGCTTAATATTTCTAGGTCAACTGTAAATAGAAAGTTAAAAATATCACATCATTTGTTTGAAATATACATTTTCACATAATAAAGTGTTTAACTTTACAATAGATTATTATTTACAATAGTCTTTACGGTCACTTTTTAATCAATTTAATGCACCCTTGATGAATACACATATGCAGGGGACTGCTTACACCAATGTTGTTATTGTAATTTATTATTGTTGTATGTATATATCTTTTTTTATTTATTATTTGTATTTGTGTAATATTTTAATTTAGAATTCATATATTTGATGTTCAGAATTTTCTCCCCCATATACACCGATCATGAATAACATTATGACCACCTTCCTAATATTGTGTTGATACCTCTTTTGCTGCCAAAACAGCTTTGAGGACAAAATGTTCACTTGCTGCCTAATTTATCCCACCCACTAACGTGTGCCTTGATGAAGAGATAATCAGTGCTATTCACTTCACCTGTCAGTGGTCATAATTTTATGCCTGACCGGTGTATAGTATAGCCCAGGGCTGTCCAAACTCGGTCCTGGAGGGTCCCGCAGAGTTTAGCTCCAACTTGCCTCAACACACCTGGGGCCAGTTGCATATAAGGTTTAGACTAGTCTTACAAGTTAGTCATAATTTTTTTTCTTTAATACTGGTCATTATTTTTTTAATTCAGTTGCATAAAAGCATACATTAGTCTAACTTGAATCCCAAAATAAGACTGATTACCCCTTGGCTATAACAGCTAGTTGGTCAAACTCATACTTAAGACATTGTCTTAACATAGAGGCTAAGTTTATGCAACTGCCCCCTGACTGGAAGTTTTTATGCCTAGTAAGAGCTTGATTAGCTGGTTCAGGTGTGTTTAATTAGGGTTGGAGCTAAACTCTGCAGGACACCGGCCCTTCAGGACAGAGTTTGGACAACCTTGGTATAGCCCTTCAATTGTAAACAGTTTAACGACAACGCTAATTCATTGCTTTAATAATAAAGGATGTTATAATTTGAAATCTTTTAATATGTGATGGAGATCGGCATCGTTGGCTATCTGCGCCTGGATTGATAAGAAAATCGGCTTGTTTGCTTTTTTAATAATCTGATTTAAAGGGGTCATATGATGCTTTTTTAAAAGATCATTATTGTGTGTATTTGGTGTAACAGAATGTTGACATGCTTTAATGTTCAAAAAAACATTATTTTTCAAATACTGTACATTATTGCTGCATCTTGGGTGGCCTGAGGGTCCATTTTCAGCTAATTTTCCTTTTTTGGGGGGCAAACTATTCCTTTAAAGGGTTAGTTCACGTTAGTTACGTTTGAAATATGGATATTTATCTTACAAAAACGCATGGATTCACTACAAGAGGCCTTTATTCACCCCCCGGAGCCGTGTGAGGGACGTTTTATTATGGATGCACACACTGTATTTCATGTCTTCTGAACTGTTGACAACCAACACCCGCTTACCACCATTGAAAGGCTTGGAGGGGCCAGGACAATTTTTTATATAACTCCGACTGGATTCGTCTGAAAGAAGAAAGTCACATACACCTAGGATGCTTCGAGGGTGAGTAAAACATAGGCTAATTTTCATTTTTGGGTGAACTAACCCTTTAAGACCTGCAAATGACCTAAGTGTCCTTACAACTAACTTGCCTGTAGCTTCTTCATGATTTCGTAGTGTAATATTTTAGAAAGCAAAAATGCAGTCCATATAATAATAAATAAAAATTTTTTATCGTGATGGACTCACAAAAAACACAAAAATATCTGTTATCATTTATTTTTACAAACATTCAACCTATATCACCTTTATCTCTCTGTACTCTTTATAAATTATAAAAAATAATGTACAATTAGTTTACTATGAACAATACATTATGACCTGATTACCCAGAGTTTTCCCTTGCCCTGCTTGAAGTAAGCACTCGCTTCTCTTGCACTTTTGACATTTGCACATTGCAACTTGAAGTTTGTCAAGTGGTCTCAGTGTCCCGAACATGTGTTCAGGTACAAAGAGCCAATCAAAGGATGGGGGGCCTATATCAGCTAATGAACATGGTACTGGTATTGTGCGTTTGTATGTCTGGTGGAAGCGAAAGAGACTGCAAATGTGTATGTTACCATTAATGTTATGTGTGTATGTAGGCCTGCTGTGTTGGGAAAAATAATTGCCAACATGCAGAGTGCTATACTGTCATGTTCTCTATATGAGAACATTTTACTGCAACCTGCTACCTCAATGGTTCTCCAATGACGATAAGACAATAGTTTCATAGTCGCAAGGCAAACTGATAAAATATCAGAGGTGTCTATAGAATCTGTACACCATAGTAGACTGAACAAATGTGTGCAGTTCTCAAATCTCGGTCTGAGTGGATTTGTTTAAGTTTGTTCAATTTGACTGTGGTGCACAGGAGTAAGAAAATGGCTTACAGTCTTTTGAAAGGTCAGACTTTTACCACCTCGCTGACAGCCTGAGGAAGTCAATGGTTTTGTGTGGCATTTTTTCAACAGAGCAAGATAAAGCTCTCCACTTCCTACCTTGACTCTTTTCTTGGTTTTCTAAAGACTGCACATATTGCTTAGAAAAAGAACTAAACAAAATGCAACCAAAAAGAAACAAAGTCACACATACATATAAATATCAGGATAAATATCAGATGTGATAAACAATGTATAATAGCCATTTAAAGCTGAAGACATTCAACAGATCCATAGTCTCTCATTTTAGAGGCTCGATGAATAAACCAGGAAAATCTCTTAAGTCACATAATTTAATACATTAAAATAGCAAATAAGCTATTCAGAGTTCTCAGGTTTGGAGTCCAGTCAATCACAGAACTTGCAGGATGATTGACAGATGACATCTTCATAACAACAGAATGGTGCCATTGTTCCGTTGTTTACTGTGGGTTCTCCGGGTAAATGGTCCAATTTTCCTGTTACACACAGTTCATCAAGACAAACAATTCATGACATTTTGCATGTTTCTTCATGGTCTTTGAGACTGCTTTCTTATGCATGTGTTTCAACTGGAAGTCTTCACTGGATTATGATAGAAACAGAGGCTGTGGAGCACTTCTCATTGACAGACAGTCAGTCCAGACCTGCAGGCTGTGTGCGTGTGTTTTGGGGGGGTCTAGCGATGCTGGGAAAAGCATTTGTATGAAAAGTATGTGTATGTGTATATGTGGATTTTCATACATGGAAGCCACTCTGTTGAACGTGGAGGAACTGCAGTCGTAGTGCTTGTATGCTGCTCACTATCCTCCTCTGGTGGCCAATCAGAGACACTCCGATTCTTCTTACATCACTGTTGAGAAAACAACAGCATGAGACTTCTGAAACTGACGCAATTAATTGGCAAGGTCATGATGAGTATAAAATGAATATGAATAGAATTACAGGATAAGAGTAATTCACTGCCTGAAAAACCAACAAAGGGTTATTTATTTATTTATTTTTAAATGTATTTATTTTTTAACGGGGCTAAAGATGAACTAGGGTAAAAGGCGTATTTGGTTGTTATGCTCCTCTTAACCACTAGATGGCAGAAAACTCACTACAGCACCTTTGCAGTGGAAATTTGGCTAATACTCAACAAAATCATGGGCAGCGACACAAAGTTGGTTCTGTGCTAATTTGATCTAATATTTCTGAAAGCCTGTTTCCACAATTGAAAAAAAAAATCAGACTTTTTGCATGAAGAATTGCGTAATGTAAGCTCACAATTGTGAGAAAAAAGGCAGAATTGTGAGGAAACAAAGTTTGAATTGCCTTTTATATAAAGGCCAAAAGCACAATAACTGACATGATAATAAATAGCTAGCTGAATTTTCCATTTGTTGACATGACATGGTTAGGTTCAGATGGTTAATATAATTTATTAGGTTGGGTGTAAACCTTAGACATAATCACCAAAAATATGATATTAATCATATGCTATAATAACATATCATATTTGTGACCCTGGACCACAAAACCAGTCTTAAGTCGCTGAGGTATATTTGTAGCAATAGCCAAAAATACATTGTATGGGTCAAAATAATAGATTTCTCTTTTATGCCAAAAATCATTAGGGCGTTAAGTAAAGATTATGTTCCATGAACATATTTTGTAAATTTCCTAATATAAATATATTAAAACGGAATTTTTGATTAGTAATATGCATTGCTAAGAACTTCATTTGGACAACTTTAAAGGCGATTTTCTCAATATTTTGATTTTTTTTTTTGCACCCTCAGATTCCAGATATTCAAATAGTTGTATCTCGACCAAATATTGCCCTATCCTAACAAATACATCAATGGAAAGCTTATTTATTCAGCTTTCATATGATGTATACATCTCAATTTTCGAAAAATTGACACTTAAGACTGGTTTTGTAGTTCAGGGTCACATTTATCTTTTATTATACTGAGTGTTCAGAGTGTAGGGTAAAAGGCCTCTAATTCATTTTATATGATTTTTGAACAAAACGATTTATTTTCCTACAAAATGTGTTTCTCCATCTATGTTCAATAAAAAAAAAC